TCCACTATACATATCTCTGCCTGATGCATTAGAGATTGTTGGGGGAAACTCCATGTTAAATATATCTATCATACAACTGTGGGCCATGTAAGTCATATTTTCTTTTATGAGTCTAAATTTACAATAATTACATTTAACTTATAATAATTATTTGTGTTAGGTACATGGACAAATTGAGTGTGGAGCAAGCACAAGCAGAAGTATATGGATTTATTGAGCCTCAATCCATCCAAAAATCAGGAAACACTCAGGTCCAGATCCAACAATATATGCAAACATGGATGAGTGACTCAAGAAGACATATATACATGGCTCCATACATTGACGGGTTAGTTTTTTAATTGGTTTTTTAATCATGGTAATTTTATAACTAATTTGTTTGTCATACAATGTAGGTCCCATTGGCAGTTAATGGTAATCATTCCTAAGGAATACACCGTGGTGTGGTTTTGTTCACTACATCGAAAACCAAGCCACGAAATTAAATGCCAATTACAAGGGTAACTAAATTTTTTCATTATGTTTTAAAACTGTAATTATATATATTGGCTAACATTTGTTTTTATTTCAATTAATTAGAATCGTGTCTGGAGCTAATATTTTAAGTGGAAGAGCCAGATCATCAAAGTCATTGCATTTCATATACCCTAAGGTTAGCAAATTAATTCATACAGTCAATAATATTTAAATTTATTGACTTTGGAAATAATAGTTATTTGTTTCTCATTTTAGTGTAATAAGCAACAAGACTCGTTTGAATGTGGCTATTACATCATGTATTGGATGAGAGCCATAGTTTCTGCGGGTATTATTGATTCTTGGGCGCAGGTAATTCATATCAAAATTTATTTAACTATATTTACCTTTAGGATAATTAACATTGCATATTAATGACACTTAAATTAATGTTTCAGGTCTTTCAAGATCCATCTCCATTGCCCGAAGATGAGATGCTCAAGATAAGAGAACAATGGGCAACTTTTTTTCTAAGTTTAGTTAGTTAGATATTATGTTTATAGTTTGATAGTTAGTTAGTTTAGTTAGTTAGATAGCATTGACAAACATATGTTTTATAGCTTTTTTAGGATAATAGGATTTACATTGTCATAATTTATATTTTTTAAGATTTATATATTATTTTCTTTTTGTCATTCAATTTTGAAATATAATTTGAATTTCTATTCTGGACTGCCTGGTTTAGATTTGCTATTCTGGACTATATTTATATGCAGGTTTTGGGTATATCAAAAATTTATAAACGTTTTAAAAAAACAACTCCCACAATTTACGTCGAGCATGGCCTTGTTCGACGTAAATTTACGTCGGGCCTTGCAATGGCCGACGTAAATTTATGTCGAACATGGCGTTGTCCGATGTAAAATTGTCGCATGTTTTTTGTCCCTTTTTACGTCGGTCTGGGAGAATCTCTGACGTAAATTTACGTCATCTTTCAGAGGTAACATAAATTTACGTCTCCCGTATTAACGTCGGAACCTTTTCTGACGTAAAAGGCTCAAAATACGCGAAGTAAAAGACCCTTTGTGTACTAGTGAGGCTTGCCTAAAAGGAGCCTCCAGGTGGTCTCGCGCTCGGCGCGAAGAACGGCGCTCAGCGCGAAGCTCGGTAGCAACCCACCAAGTTCGAAAATTTGCCCAAAAACCTGCAAAACTTCACATATCCAGCACATGCAAACCATCCAAAAGCCCACATTTTTATCAAACATCAAGAAAAACACCTCATTTTCAACATGCAACCTCAAATCCAAGAAAACCCAAATTTCTTCAAAAAACCCCGAAAACTCCAAAACTCCATTTTTTACCACAACAGCTCATCAATCAACATAACTCATCCACACCATGAGTTTAGGAACTCGTTTTCAACCCAAACAGCTAAGGACCTAGCTTCCCTTACCTCGGTACAAAGATCCAAGCTTCCGGGAAGAAGAAAATGCTCACGGAGAAGAAATGGGGAAGAAGAGGAATGAAAAGAAGCTCCACACGGCTCAACAAGCAGTTCCACACCTACTCAGCACCTTCGATCCAAAGAGAGCACTACCAAGAGAAGAAATCAGCAAAAGAGAGTGAGAATGAGAGTTGAGAAAAGAGAGGGAGAGTAGAGAGTGAATCGGAGAAGGAAAAAGGAAAAAGGAAGGTCTCATAGAAAACATTTTTAATTATTCCTTGAATAAATCAACAAAAATTTCATAATCATATTTTATATGCTTCATTCTTTATTATAAGATATTTTTAATTAAATAACACACAAATTGATATTTTTTATAGAGACTAATATAAGTACTTATGTTAGTTAATTTTATTAGATTTATAAAATAAAATTATAATTTATTAATTTTACTTTTCTTACTTGTCATTAAATTTTTATAAGTGAAAATATATATTATATAAAAACTTATACATCAATACCAACAAAATGATAAATATTAATTAAAGAAAGTTTAAGAGATTAGAGAGAAAAGTACATTTTTTTTATAATTTTTAACTAAAGGAGTTAAGGTACTTCGTACATCTAATAGTTATAAATAAATAAATATTAGAAGCTGTGAAAAATTATTGAGAGAGAATATAAAAAGAATTTTTTTTTACATCTAAGAGGTATAATGGTCCACTAAAAAGTAAAAACTAAAAAAATAGTTACTAAAATATATCTCCTTTATAAGTATAGATAAAGATAAATAAAAAATAATTTAATATTTTCTAAAAATTATAAGATATCTTATAAAATGCACCAAAATATTCTTTTTAACTATATCTTATAATAAATAAGGAGAAAGTATCATATTATAGTTTTAATATTTAAAAAATTTATTAACATCAAGTTAGCAGATTATTCTTGTAATAATCGATTGCTTACTTGAAAATCTAACGTTTTCCCACAAGTCATTTTAACACGTACCATTAAAAATCAAATGGAATATAAATATTTGTTAACTATGATATTACTATTATTTACTGCATTAATGTTTTACAACTATAATCGGCTCACTGGTGATGTTAAGATAAATGTTAAAATGAATGAGAAATTTTATCATTATCTCTCCCTCTCCCTCTTTTTATTTTGTTTTTTTTTTCTTTCAATTTTCTCTTACCCCTCATTATTCTTTCAAAGTTGACATAAAAAATATTAATAATTTTTATTTATTAAATATTCAAAAATATTTCTTAAATTATTAAATATTATCTAACATTAATTTTTAAACTATTAAATATTTAAAAATTGACTAGTTAATATGTATTTTTTTTTATAAAATTTAATCTTAAAACTTCAATACATATTTTTAAAATCACTTTTTATCCATGTTAAAAAATAAATCAAATTACCATATTTAAATTAAGAATTTAAAATTTAAAATTTTGAATTGATTTATCTAAATAAATCATTTAAAAAATGAAAAAAAAAATTAAAATCAAAATAATTAAAATTTTACAAATTTTAAATTCTTTAAATTTTTAAAATTTCTTGTCCAAATTACACAAGAATTAATTGCAAGTCATTCTCATTAAAGAAGTACATGATCCCAAAAACTTTGACCTTTGGCCAACTAGGGTTTGTCATGTTAGATCGGTGAACATCGCTTTTGGAGTTTTGGTTCATGGTGTGGTCCTACTTATGCACGAACTATGTGGCTCCCAAGACATCATTTTCTTAGCTATCAAACTATTTTGGACATGTTGCTTCTATTAATTTGTCTAACTATCATTTTTCTTTTTGATTTCCATGCACATGTTTTGACTCACTAGTCACTTTTCAATGTCACAATGAAATGTTGGACCAATAAAGTTTATCAGTTTAATTGATTTTTTTAGAACTTTTATTAATTTAATGACAGATTGGGATATATTTAACTTTGTTTTTTATTTTATTTTTACTAGGACTCTACATGCAGGGGTATAAAATTTCAAATAAGATTTGGCATAAAAATTCAAACCCCCTTTTTATCATTATTTTCTATTTATACAATTATACTTCAAAACTAGTTAATTAACGTTATAATATTTAAACTGATTCAAAATTATAAAATTTAGTATTTCCATAAATATATATTTTTTATAAGTTCTCCTTTTTCCTATATCCTAATCCGTCAATTAAGTGAGACAACATTCTTGCACCGCGTGTTAGTCCACATGTCTTTTCAAGTTTTAAGTAATGTTTGTCGAAAAGTTTTCCTATTTTTTTTATCTAAAAAATTTAAAAGCTATTTAATATCTTAAAAATACTACTTCAACATTATATCTAATATCTGTCAAAAAAATATAATAAATAAATGTAAAAGAACTGTTTTTTTTTAATAAATCACTAATAAAATATCTTAGATAGGTGCCTCAACTTTCTTTTTAGAGAAAAGTATCCGATGTTACTTAAAAGCGAAAAATATTAAAATATAATTTTTTCTTCATCATTTTTAATTATTAATATTTTTTAATTCATGAATACTTAATTTAATAAGAAATATAATATTTCGAAATAGTTGTCATATCTCATCAATCATAAATTAATATTTCTGACATATATAAAGAAGTTATAAAATGAGAGATTAAATAATATACATAATCTTAAATTCAAATTTATTTTAGTGTAATCATTGTAATTCCTACAAATAAGTAATTCTCATCCTCTCCTAATTAAAGCAATTTCAATACATTTTAGATTATATAATGTGATGAAATGAGATAAAAGAGAAAAAAATTTATATAAATAACATTATTAAAACAATTTTAATAAATTTTAGATTAAATATTTAATGTTCAAAATTTTAACATTAAAGTTAACAATTACATTTAAGTTACATTTGATAATTAATCAGTATATAATGAAAAGACTTTAAGAAAATAAAGTTTATTAGTTTTTTATTTTTAATCTTGAAAAGGTTAATTTCTAACTTCAAAGTATTAATTGAAAATATAAAAATGTATAATCTGTTACAAAAATTTGATATATAAATATCATAACTCTCTAAAGTCTAATCATATGATTCACTCCAGCTCTCTGCACGAAGACGTTCATAAGCCACAGAAATTAAAAAAAGAAAGAAAAAAAAAATCTGCCTTAACAGCAACAATTTCATCAAATATGCAATTCATCAGTTTTCTAGCTTCATCTCTACTTTAACATACTCTCGAAGTCAACAAGTCAACCATATTACTCTTCTTCACCCAGAAAAATCTACCCCAGGTGAATTTTCTTGCTTGGTTTTGTTTCATTTAAACTAAGGTATGATATCATGTTCTCACTCTTCTCTTACTACTTTTCTTCTTCCATGATACACCGTGAATTGATTTTCTCCTCCAACCCATTTTCACTCGTGGGGTATGTGCTTCTCTACACTTAAGTCTTGTTACTTGTGCTAGTTGTGTCTTGGGTATGGAAAAAAGTGCATGTGGACCATAGAGAAAAGAGTGGAAGAAATGGAATCCTTAATTCTGGTTTCTTGTACAACAAACACAGTCTGGTATGTAGCTCAGTTATTTGTGTGATCAACCTTGTTTTGTGCTTAATAAGCTATTGTTACTTATATAAATATGATGGTCCAGAGGAGTTGTAGCACTTTCTGATTTGGTTCTCAAAACAGTTGTTTGGGGTGCTATTTGCGCTTATTTACTTTCTAGAAACTCCAAGGCACAGGATCCGAGTTTTCCATGTTTGTTGAGAATTTGGTGATGCCTTTGTTTCTTGTTGTTGCCATGTTATATACTTTGTAGTCTATGGAAAGCATGTTCTTTTGCCTATTATGTACCTAGTTTCTGATATAGGCTTCTTGTTAGAATACAAACAGTCTCACATCGATAAAATAAGACAAGAAACAACAATTTATATAACACAAACATATTTCAATGATTGAGAGGCCTTTTGGGTAATGACGAAAAGCAAAACCGTGAGAACCTAGGCTCAAAGCGGATATCTTATCATTGTGGAGTATGTTTATGTAATAACCTTATAAAAATAATTCTCATAAAATATCTCCTCAGATAAATACCAATAAAATAACCCCATCACTTCTCTATTACATGTTTATTTCTATGTTATGTAGGATGTTCTGTTAAAAATATGGCTAAGCTTCCCCCTCTTGAAGAGCCCCTTTTGAATGGTGACTCTAGTGTAAGCAACAATTCAGACCTCAGTAAGACTAGAGGAAATGGAAAGATAACCAGTTATTCAAAGGCTGGATATTTCAGCATTCTTACTTTCTCATGGATCAGTCCATTAATAACTCTAGGCAATGAGAAAACTTTAGACCATGAGGACCTCCCACTTCTTGCTACTGATGACAGTGCCTATGGGGTTTATCCAACTTTTAGAAGCAAACTTGAGTCAGAGTGTGGTAGTGTTAGGAATGTGACCACACTTAAGTTAGTGAAGGTGTTATTCTTGTCAACATGGCAAGGGATACTTTTATCAGGTTTTTTTGCATTCCTATACACATGTGCTTCTTATGTTGGACCCTTTTTAATTGACATTCTTGTTCAATTCCTCAATGGGAAACACGAGTTTAAAAGTGAAGGTTATGTTTTGGCTTTAGCATTTGTTGCTGCAAAGCTTGTGGAGTGTCTTTCACAAAGGCACTGGATGTTTAGGTTCCAGCAGGTTGGGGTTAGGATGCAATCAAAGTTGGTGGCAATGATCTATGCTAAAGGATTGACTCTTTCATGTCAATCGAAGGAGGTTAGCAGCACTGGGGAAATCATCAACTTAATGACTGTTGATGCCGAAAGGATTGGTGAATTTTGTTGGTACATGCATGATCCATGGATGTGTGTCTTGCAAGTTACTTTGGCCTTGTTAATTCTCTATAGAAGTGTAGGGGTTGCTTCAATAGCTGCTCTTGCCGCCACTGTTATTGTGATGTTGCTAAACCTTCCCTTGGCATCATTGCAAGGAAAGTTCCAAGGCAAGGTAATGGAGTTCAAAGATAAAAGAATGAAGGCTACATCTGAGACTCTGAACAATATGAGGATTCTAAAGCTTCAGGCATGGGAGATGAAGTTCTTATCAAAGATTATTGATCTTAGAAAAAGTGAGGAGGTATGGCTAAAGAAATTCTTAGCTGGTACAGCATTTGTTAGAATTCTCTTCCATAATGCCCCAACTTTCATTGCCGTGGTTACGTTTGGTTCTTGTGTGCTTATCGGAATCCCACTTGAATCAGGGAAGGTCTTATCTGCACTTGCAACATTCAGAATTCTTCAAATGCCCATCTACAGTCTTCCTGACACGATTTCAATGATTGCACAAACTAAGGTTTCCCTTGACAGGATTGCATCATTTCTTCGTCTGGATGAGTTGAAGACTGATGTAGTAGAGAAGCTTCCATGGGGTAGTTCTGATAAGGCAATTGAATTAGTAGATGGTAATTTCTCGTGGGATTTATCTTCCCCTAATACAACATTGAAAGACATAAATCTGACAGTTTTTCATGGTATGAGGGTTGCTGTATGTGGTACTGTTGGATCAGGCAAGTCTAGTTTACTTTCTTGTATGATAGGGGAAGTACCAAAGAAATCTGGGACCCTGAAGATATGTGGAACAAAGGCTTATGTGTCTCAATCGCCATGGATACAGAGTGGCAAGATAGAAGATAACATATTATTTGGTAAAGAGATGGAGAGGGAAAAGTATGAGAAGGTGCTAGAAGCATGTTCCTTGACAAAAGACCTTGAGGTTCTACCATTCGGTGATCAGACCATTATTGGAGAAAAGGGAATCAATTTGAGTGGTGGACAGAAGCAAAGGGTACAAATAGCCCGTGCTCTATACCAAGATGCTGATATATATCTCTTTGATGATCCCTTCAGTGCTGTGGATGCTCACACAGGATCCCATCTCTTTAAGGTACTATTTTTCTAGGCTCTACACTGCAATCAATTTTTTTTTCTTGGAGAGGTAATTTGATACTTCCGAACTATTCATACAAACTTTAATTCTATCAGGAGTGCTTGCTTGGCCTTTTGAAATCAAAAACTGTGATGTACGTAACTCATCAAGCAGAGTTCTTACCTGATGCTGATCTAATATTGGTGAGTGATTTGTAGATTTCATGCTCCAGAATTCAAACAACAGCATTTGGTCTATTACTATTGTCTCAGTATTTTTATCTTGCTTACAATTTATTTAGGTCATGAGAGATGGAAGGATAACTCAATCAGGAAAATACAATGACATTCTCCAGACAGGCACTGATTTTATGGAACTTGTAGGTGCACACAAAGCAGCTTTATCTTCAATTAAGTCCTTGGAGAGAAGGCCAACATTTAAAACATCAAGCACCACCAAAGAGGACACAAATTCATTAAGTGATTTTGAACTTGAGCATAATGTGGAAAACATATATGATCAAAATGATAAGTTAGATGACACAGTTGAGGCCAAAGGACAACTTGTTCAAGAAGAAGAACGGGAAAAGGGTAGAGTTGGGTTTAAAGTATACTGGAAATACATCACAACAGCTTATGGAGGAGCTCTTGTGCCATTCATTTTACTTTCACAGACACTCACTGTGGCTTTTCAGATTGCAAGCAATTATTGGATGACTTTGGCAACTCCTGTTTCAGCAACTGATGAAACTGATATTGGAAGCTTTACACTTATGGTTGTCTATGTTGCTTTGGAAATTGGAGGTTCCATTTTCACCTTTGCCAGAGCATTTCTTGCTGTGATAGCTGGATACAAGACAGCCACTATTCTCTTCAATAAAATGCATTTGTGCATTTTTGGAGCACCAATATCATTTTTTGATGCCACCCCAAGTGGCCGAATCCTTAATAGAGTATGTCATTATTGGTTCTTATTTACCTGATATATGACATCATAGTGCATTGTTTTTGGATGTCTAATTTCTCTATTTTGGTTTTTTCAATTGACCACATTGAATGTAATTGTTGTCTAAATTTTAGTTTTGATTTTTGTTGTAGGCTTCAACAGACCAAAGTGCACTAGATATGAACATTTCAAATTTAGTGTGGGCAATTGCCTTCAATCTGATTCAATTCATGGGAAATATTTTTGTGATGTCTCAAGCTGCATGGCAGGTGTTTGTAGTTTTGATTCCTGTCATGGCAGCATGCATATGGTACCAGGTAATTTTATGGATAATGTCTAACTTATATTATTTGACAACACTAAAAGCAGATATCACCAAATGAATCTGATTTTTTCTCATTCCTCCTATTTTGTTTTTCAAGGCCCTCGTTTTCCTCATTGAAAGTATTTTAAGTGCACTTAATGACACTACTGTGAAAAATTGTCTCTGACGTAGAAAATTTAACTGTACAAAATATAAGTGACATATTATCTGAAAAGAATAAATTTACAAAGAACTTAATCTCTTACAACTTTGTTCTTAAAGGATTGAATTCATTTATGTTTTCTGAATTGAATTTTACAATTCCTTTGTACCTGTTTATATTAGGAAACAAGCTGAATAATGATAGGTAATAGAGAAGTTTTATTTTAAGTCATTCATTATTAATGTTTTAAATTAACTAAACCATTGTGGAGTTGGAATAATATGTGTAAAGTCTTAAGTTAGAACCCTATCACCGTTATTGTAATTCCTATAGATCAAAAAGAATATATTAACTAAAACATTAATTTTATTTCTTGTTAAGAAAAAAATAATTAATTTTATTTACCAAAATTATAAAAGAATTGTAAGCTACAAATAATAATCACATTCTCGAAAGTTTAGAGGAAGAAATAAAGAAAAATATGAGTCTGACTGTTGTTATTGTGCAAACAATATATTATACATAATAACAGAATGCTTCAATAAATGCAGCGATACTATTCTGCATCAGCAAGGGAATTGGCTCGATTAGTTGGTACGTGCCAAGCTCCTGTTATACAACATTTTTCTGAAACAATTTCTGGATCAACAACCATAAGAAGTTTTGAGCAAGAATCAAGATTTAATGACATAAATATGAAATTGATAGACAGATATTCCCAACCCAAATTATACAGTGCTACTGCAATTGAATGGCTGAATTTCAGATTGGATATTTTATCCACTCTCACATTTGCCTTCTGTTTGGTTTTCTTGATATCTTTTCCAAATTCAGTGACTGCTCCTGGTGAGCACTTCAAACTACATACATTTACTAGGCATACTTAACTCCTTATGATACTAAGCAAAAAACTTAATTACTTTTTTTACTTCAATTTTCATTTTTTCAAGGCATCGCGGGTTTGGCTGTGACATATGGACTTAATCTAAACGCTCTACAATTTAATATAATCTGGTTCCTTTGTAATTTGGAGAACAAAATTATATCCGTTGAAAGAATACTTCAGTACACAACCCTTCCTAGTGAAGCTCCTCTTGTGATAAAAGACAACAAACCGGATTATTCATGGCCATCATTTGGAGAGGTTCATATCCGGGATTTACAGGTACATTTCAAAGGTCATTCATTTGTTCCATTCTGAAGTGAAGGCTACAATTAAATTTTCTTGTTTACAAGTCTACGCTTGTTTTTATATAGTATATAGCCTTAACTGAGAAGTGTGTGATGCAGGTTCGATATGCTCCTCATTTGCCTATTGTTTTAAGAGGTCTTACTTGCACTTTTTCTGCTGGAGCAAAAACTGGCATTGTGGGAAGAACAGGAAGTGGAAAAACAACTCTAGTGCAAGCACTTTTCCGACTTATTGAACCTGTTGCTGGACAAATATTGATAGACAGCATTAACATATCTTTGATTGGAATTCATGATTTGCGATCTAGACTAAGCATTATTCCTCAAGATCCTACAATGTTTGAAGGGACTGTGAGAACCAACCTGGACCCACTGGAAGAGTACACAGATGAAAAGATTTGGGAGGTAATTTGGTTTTGTTTGACACTATGAATAACTTGTCTCTTTATACTGCAAGTTATACATGCTAATTTCTTTTAAGAAATATTTCAGGCTCTTGATATGTGCCAACTTGGAGATGAAGTAAGGGAAAAAGAAGGGAAGCTTGATTCTAAAGGTGTGTAGCTTGTGTATCAATGATATGTCGTCTAAATGTAGTAAGAATGTGTTACTTATCATTATGAGTTTTTGCAGTAACTGAGAATGGAGAAAATTGGAGTATGGGTCAAAGGCAATTGGTCTGCCTTGGCCGTGTTCTACTCAAGAAAAGCAAGATCTTGGTGCTTGATGAAGCTACTGCATCGGTTGATACAGCCACAGATAATATTATTCAGCAAACTGTTAAGCAACATTTTTCAGAATGCACAGTCATTACCATTGCTCATAGGATAACTTCAATTATCGATAGTGACATGGTGCTGTTTTTAAATCAAGGTGGAAACCACTTTATCACTTTATTCTTGCTTGTTTGGTCCAATTTTAGAGAAATAATCATTTTTTTGTCTACTTCCTCAGAGTTTTTAAAGAAATAGTGGTTATTCCTCCTAAAAAACTTGCAACATCACTTATTTTCTTTCTTTATTTATTTGACCCTTTTTTCTTCTTTTTCTCATGATAAACGTGAATATGATTTCTCTTCTTATTGATCCTGCAGGGTTGATTGAGGAATATGATTCACCAAAGAAACTGCTTAAGAATAAATCCTCATCTCTAGCTCAACTAGTTGCAGAATACACAAGGAGGTCCAACTCTGGTTTTGGAAGTTAAATTGAAGCTGAATTGAAATTACCCTAAAACCAGAAATATTTATGGTCAACCAAATAGATTTCAATCATTCTTAGGAATGGTGATTTCCAAGATTTATGATTCTCGGATATAAAAAAAAAATCTGTGTACCAAACACTTCCTTCATGTGTTACTGTCTTACCTTACTGGACTTAGGCAAAGGTTTTAGTCGTTCCTCTTTATAATAGCCTCGCTGAGACTTGTTTGAGACTCACTCTTAGGATAATTTATGAATTGTGATGCAGATTATTGCAATGTTAACGATCTGAGTGCAATCTTAGCACCTGTTTATAAACTCATCCAAAGTTGGCTTTGGAAAATCTTGCTTTGATATGTGTTTTTGATGGGGTTATTTTATGATATTTGTAGGGGATATTTTATGAGGGTTATTTTATAGGGTTATTACACAAACATACTCCACAATAATGAGATATTGTCCGCTTTAGGACTAAGCCTTCACAGTTTTGCTCTTGGTTATCACTCAAAAGGCCTCTCAATCATTGAATTATGTTTGTGCTATATAAGTTGTTATTTCTTGTTTTATTTTATCGATGTGAGACTTGTTTGTATCCTAATACTTTTCGACATTCAAAGTGTGGAATGCCCTTAGGCTTTAGGTGAGCTTTAACGCATAAAATTAAGTAATTAACACTTATCCTTCACATACTAAATGCAATTTGTATACTGTTGGGGGTGTTCGAAAAATATGTAGGTACTTGGAAAATCTGTGGGCATGACAGGCTATTAAAGAACAACATGAGAATTACGCGAACCAAGCAGAGGCCAGGTTACACTTTAATGTTGGTTCAGGAAAGTTACTCATTGACATGTACAGATTAAATGTCATCGAAGAAAATATATGAAAGTCGACTAATAAAAGTTGGTTATCAGAAGTTAAAAGCAGTTGAGAAGTTACGTGACTAATGTAGTGGAGCGGTTATATGTACCACGTTAAACCTATGCATTAACCGTTCCCCAGAAAGTTTATAAATAGACGAATCAAACTCTTTTCAGAGGTCGGAAAATCATACTTGAAATTTCACAAGCACTCAATGTCTGCGCAGATGATTTTCGTGTACGAGGTTGCTAGATATGACTTCTTGGCCACATTTCTTTTCTTTGCTTAGGATTATTTTAGTTTAGTATAACATAGTTTCAGATTTAATTTACTTCTTTAAACCATTACGCATTGTAACTTATGTGAAGGAGACAATGATTTGTATTGTAAAAATATATGTCATTCACTCGATCTATCTGAATGTTTGCATGCATGAAAGTTATTTCTTGATAATCATTGATGAATATCTAGAAATTGAATCCTGTTAAATTCAAATTCAAGATAACATAATCACCTCCACCTACATCATTCTTGCAAAAGGTTTAATTGCACATACCTAAATTGAAAGGTGTTGCTAGTTCAAACAAAAAGAACCCATAAACAAAATTCCCCACAAAAACATACACAAGATTCAAACTTGAAATTATTTCCTAAGCAGAAACAAATCTCGTATCAATTGATTTACATGTTTGTTAGCATTGAAATAATAATCTAAGTTGTGTTTTTTACTATTTTTTTAAGGGATACTATATTTAATTTTAAAAATACTTTTTTTTGCATATATTGCCTACTCTTTTCAGCCTCTGTCTTATATCAGACAAGCTTATCATAAGTCCTAAGGACCGGAAATACTGGATCAAGGTTTCATAGTGTTCTGTGTACAAGATCCTCTTAGAGAGGCGAGTACAGAGCATACTTGCTTTAAGCATAATACTGAGATCATAATACTATTATAGTATCAAGAGCTTTCGAGAGAGAGAAAGAAAAGTGATTTAGAAATCCATGAATAAAGAAACACAAGAGTTTTTATTTCAAACTTGCTTGGGTTACAAACTGAGAGAATGCCCCCTTTTATAGACTCGATTTGAATGCATTAATTCTAATATGTGATCCTGAATTACTTTTGTGATTTGTTTAAGTTAATTAAAATTTAAATTTGATTAAATATCAAATAACTCCTGGTCATTATATAATTTCAAATTATTTTTACATTTTGAAATATAAAAATTCTAAATTGTCATGAAGTTGTCTTCTCCATAGGTATATTAAGATTTGAAAATTTTATTAATAATTAAGTTAATTTTTAAATTAAAATTATATTATATTTAAGAAGAATAGTTTGATTATATTCAGTGACTATAACTTTCTTTATATTTATCAATTATAGTTGTGGTAATAAAAGATGACGATGCAATAATAAATAAGGTAAGAAAATGTGTCAATAAATTATATTTATTTTTATTAAAAATTCATTAAAAAGTAAAAACAACTCAAATTCAAAAAAATAGTTAGTGTTGATTGCTTATTTCTTCACGTAATTAATGTTGATTGATTTTTTTTATTAATTACATTATTAATGACAAAATAAAAAAATAATTATAGTATGCAGCTCATCATATATTGAGATGTGTGTTCTTCAAACATCTATGTAATTGACACCCTTGAAAGCTAATGCCTATCTTTCATTTTTGAGAAAATGAAAGCCAATGCGTATAATATGAACATGTTACCCAAACCTGATATTGATTCATAAATATATTTAATCTATGAAATAATTTTACCAAAATCCAATTAGTTTGGTACAGGAAATGACAGTATTTTTTAATTGTAATTATTATATTTTATGATCGTTTAATTTTTTACATTAATAATTAGTATAATCAAAAGGTTACAACAAACTAAAAGGAAAATAACAAATATGTTCTAATAATTTTATCCTTAATTTTGTTGATGTGTTAGTTCAATAATATCACTTTAGGAAGAAAATATCGAAGGTTTAACTAACAAATTGAATGTACAAAGTGCACGAAAAATTACAATAAAATAAAATAAGTACTTAAATTAATTATATTAATTTTATTTTAAAAAAAGGCAAAATAATTGTGTTGTTAAATAAAAAATAATGAGATAAATTTATGTTGATGAAATAAAATTAAATTTTAAATTATAATATTATTTTTTTGAGAAGAAATTATAATATTAAAAAAAATTTCAATAAAAGGTTTAATCACTATAAAACTAACACATCCCAACAAGGTTGACATTCCAAGGTTTATCAATCACATCTATAACACACTAAAAGAATATATATAATAAAAATAAATAAATAAAGAGAGAGATAGAAAAATAGTTACAGTAACTATACCAAAATCCATCTAAGAATCAATAAAAGCAAGAAAAAGATAAATTACAACCATCACAAAAAAAAAAAAAAAAAAAAAAAAATTTAAAAAAAAAAAAAAAAAAACTTTCAAACAAAAATGATAGAACATATCACCATTTATAAATAATCTTATATCTTAAACCAAAATCAACTAATTATAATATTAATTCGATCATAATTTTCAGAACATATATAATATAAATATTTTAATTTATATGACAACTATTATTGTAACATCCTGAATTTCATATTTTATAATAAATAGTATTTTAGAAATTATTTTCACGTTTAATGTATTTATTTTAGAGTTTTGAATATTATTTAATTAGTTATATGAGCTCTATTTTAATTTTGTGACAGGATTTGTAATTATATTTTGTTTAATTAGTGGATCAGGAGTTATTTTTATGAATATATTTTATTATTAATAATTATGTTTAAGTTATCTTATAAAAGGGAGAAGGTATGTTTAATATTATTATTATTATTATTATTATTATTATTATTATTATACTATCCGTACCGCTATGCCGAGCTTGAGGAGCTCGGCCTCACGGCTCAGGACGACTTCGGACACGCGTTAGACTACGTCAGCTCGGCATCCAAATAGATCATAACTAATAGATCATAACTGATCTCGGGTCCAAGGCCCAGGAAAACCCTAATCCACATAAAGGTACGTGCATTACTTATACGAGACTCATATTCCCACAAACACTAATTTTAGCATTGGAGTCTCTTTTGCAGGTACCACCCCCATCTTGGAACGTCACACGTACCACCGAAGGAGGCTCGCCGATCTTACCCAGCAAATCGTCCCCTACGACCGATCTCCGGTAAGAACATTTGGTGCCCACTGTGGGGCCAATCAAGACAGCTCTTATCGGTCACGCTTATGGTTTTCACCAGAAGTCATAGCAGACGCGCAACGGACGACCTAGATCACGCAACTAACATGGACAACGAAGCAGCATTGAGAAGATTGATCGAACAGGTCAAGCAGATGCGGTAGCAACACACCGCCAATCTGCAAAGCATGTGTGCCAAGCACGAAACTGACCTAGTAGCGATGCGTACCGCTAATGAAGCTGACCTAGCGGCGATGCACGCCGAGAATGAGCGTATTCGTGCTCAGCTCCCTCGGCGTTCCTCTGATCAACCCCCTCAACCGAGTAACCTACACGAGGAAGAGGGGCACTCGATTTCTCAACCACCAGCAGCAACTAGGGCACAGACTCCCAGGCCTGCCACACATCGGTCACACACACCGACGAACAGGTCAGCCCATGACGTCAGCAACACTCCTGCCCACGTCACGAGAAATCAAGCGACCTTCCGCTGTCATCCATTCGTGGATGGCATCGCGTGAAAACGCCTCTCCCTTTCGGATGGAAGCCTCTCCACATCGACCGTTACGACGACACGACAGATCTGGACGAGCACATCGACCTGTATACTACACAGGTAAACCATTACACTAATAAGGACGCTATTCTGTGTAGGGTTTTTTCGACCTCGCTCAAGGAGGCTGCACTCAACTGGTATACTCAGCTACCTGCTGAGTCGATTGACAGCTTCGGCACTCTGGTCAGACGGTTCACGGCGCAGTATGCAACGAGCCGACCTCATCACATAATGTTAGCTACCCTGGCCAGTCTCAGACAGAGCAACGACGAACCACTACGGACGTTCATGGAACGCTTTGCCGGCATCTCGGTGAAAATTTGAAATTTGAATCCCGAGGTCACCTTACACGCCATGCTCATGGCACTCAAGCTCGCACCGTTTGTCGACAGCCTATGCCGTGAAGCTCCTCGCGACATGGACGAGCTCTACGCCCGTGTTGTTGGGTACATACAGATGGAGGAACACTCCGCTTTTCATGACCAGGTTTGCAGAAAATCACAAGCGAATCCTGACAAGGATAAGGTGAAAGTCATTAATGACAGTCAGTTCAAGAAGACGGCTAGGGTAAATAAAGGGGGGAGATCCGACTTCTACACCCTCCTGAATACGCCCCGAGTACACACCCTGGAGGAGGCCAGCAACAACAACCTGCTCACTCTGCCACCACCAGGACACACCCCCAACAGTGCAGACAAATCCAAGCACTATCGATACCACAGGAATCATGGTCACACCACTGAGGAATGTCGCACCCTCAGAGACCGCATTGAGGAACTCGTCCAGGCGGGACATCTTGCGCAATACGTCCAGCGGCAACAAGGCCATCGAGGAGGATACAATGGACGAGAGCGAAGTAGAGTTCGTGGTTCAGGAGGCCGCACAGACCAACCCTCTAGCTCTCAGCAAAACGCTGGTGGCACAGTGCAGGCCGAGGTAAGCCAGGAAACAGGGTCAGCCCCCTTGCAGGGCGTCATCAACACAATTGCAGGTGGCTTAGCAGGGGGAGGCTCTAGCAACTCGGCGCGGAAATGACATTTGCGCAGCATCAACAATGTCCACTCCGCCACCTCGGCCTCGGATCAAAGCTCGCCGTCGATCACCTTCACCGACGATGACTATGTTGGCGTCAGCCCCAACCAGGATGATCCAATGTTCATCACCGTGGAGGTCGCCAATTGGGAGGTCCGCAAGACGTTGATTGACCAAGGGAGCTCGACTGACGTCCTGTATTGGCCGACGTTTCTCAGGTTAGATATCCCTCACTCTCTTATCCAACCTCACACAGAGCCCCTAGTCAATTTTGCAGGAGAGCGAGTACACACTCGAGGATATGTGGACCTGCTGACAACCTTCGGAACCTCTCCCGACACAAGGAGAATTATGGTCCGATATCTCCTCGTGGAAGCCAACACGTCCTACAACATAATCATTGGGAGGCCGACGTTAAACCAACTCGGAGTAGTGGTGTCTACCCCGCACCTCACCATGAAATTCCCAGGGAGCGATGGAAAGATTATTTTTGTCAAGGCAAACCAGAAGACAGCTCGGCAGTGCTACACCGAGAGTCTGAAAATCTCCTCATCCGGCGAGCGTTGCAAGACTGATCCCCCTACAGTGGCTCACATCACCCACGTGGATATCACTGACCTCGATCTGATCGAGGTCTGACTCCCATGATGAACAACCTAGCTCCATCGACGAGCTCAACGATCTCCAGATCGGGAAGCTCCCTGGGCAGTGCACGAAAATCAGCAGGCAGTTGAACCCGGAGTTACGGCAACAGCTCGAAGCTAAAATTTTCAAAAATGCCAACCTCTTTGCATGGTCCAGCTCCGACATGCCAGGTATAGATGCTAACCTCATCTGTCACAGGTTGGTAATTCACAAGGAGGCGAAGCCAGTTGCCCAGAGAAAAAGGAAGGTTGGTGGTGAAAGGTAGGAAGCCATCGTCACCGAGACACAAAAGCTACTGAACGCAAGCTTCATCCGTGAAGTCAGGTACACCATGTGGCTGGCAAACGTGGTCCTGGTGAAGAAGAGCTCAGGGAAGTGGCGCATGTGCGTCTACTCCACTGACTTGAACAAAGCATCCCCCAAGGACTCATATCCCCTACCGAGTATCGACAGACTGGTCGATGGAGCATCCGAGCTTGCCCTCCTCAACTTTCTCAATGCTTATTCAGGGTAAAACCAGATCATGATGTACCCCCCAGACGAGGTACACACGTCATTTGTCACCGACCACGCCAACTTCTGCTACCGAGTGATGCCATTCGGTCTCAAAAACACAGGGCCACTTACCAGCAGCTGATGGACAAGGTTTTCCACCAGCAGATAGGGAAGAACATGGAAGTCTACGTCGACGATATGGTGGTCAAAACCACCTCATCCGAGGATCATGTTGCCGACCTTGCCAAGGTGTTCAGCCAGATCAGGAGACACAACATGCGTCTCAACCCAGAGAAGTGCGTCTTCGGCGTCCAGGGAGGTAAATTCCTTGGTTTTATGATTACTAGCAGGGGGATTGAGGCTAACCCGGAGAAGTACAAAGCCATCATCCAGATGCAGAGTCCTCAAACGGTGAAGAAAGTCCAACGCCTGGCAGGAAGGTTGGTCTCATTGTCCCGTTTCATCCCCAGGCTCGCGGAGAAAGTAGGGCCCATCTTCACTCTCTTACGAAAGCCAAAAACCTTTGAGTGGACAGACCAGTGCAAAGAGGCTTTCAAGAGCTTCAGAGCCTTCCTCACGACTCCGCTAATCCTCTAGAGGCCGGATCATACAGCCAACCTCCTCCTATACTTAGCCGTGGAAGAAGGCGCAATCAACGCAGTTATAGTGCAAGAGAACCAGAAAGTGCAGACGCCAGTCTATTTCATCAGTTGAGTCCTTCGGGACACCGAGAAAAGATATCAGAAGATTGAAAAACTTGCACTGGCCCTTGTTACTGCAGCTCGGTGTCTCAGACCTTACTTCTAGAGCCACCAAGTGGTCGTCAAGACCGACTACCCCATCAAGCAAATCCTGAGAAAGCCAGAGCTCGCCGGACGGATAATAGCATGGTCAGTCGAGTTGTCTGAGTTCGACATCCAATATGAAAGTTGCGGGGCTCTGAAAGCTCAATGTTTGGCCGACTTCATAGCCGAATTGACGCCAACCTCGGCCGATGAACCACAGGTATGGATTTTGCATGTTGATGGGTCTTCCAACTCTATGGGTGGTGGTGCAGGAATCATCTTGGAAGGACCAAATCAGGTCACTTTGGAGCAATCCCTTAGGTTCAGCTTCAAGGTAACTAACAACCAGGCGAAATATGAGGCGCTTCTCGCAGGGCTAAGGCTGGCTCGCAACCTCAGGGCACGAAGATTGAGTTACAACAACGACTCAAAACTCATGGTAGAGCAGCTCAGCGGGACACAACAGGCCAAGGATACTCTCCTGCAACGGTATTTCCATATGGCATCACAACAGATATCATCCTTCAACGAGTTCACTATACATCATGTACCGCGAGAACAAAACACCAGGGCTGACCTCCTATCAAAACTCGCTAGCACCAGACGCCCTGAACAACATCAGACCATCATCCAGGAAACCTTGCATTCACCCAGCCTAGACGACAAGGTCGTTAACACTAGCAACAGCAAAAACCAGGGATGGATGACAGGCATCTGGAACTTCTTGAAGAAAAGAATTTTACCTGAGGATAAAGGTGAAGCTCAAAAGATGAGAGGCAGGTCGGCCAAGTTCGTAATTATTGGAGACGAACTGTTCAAGTATGGCATCTCCACCCCTTTGCTCAAATGTTTGACTACATCGCAAGCAACTTATGTCATCGAGGAGACCCACCGAGGTATATGTGGAATGCACTCCGGATCACGCTCGATGGCAATCAGGGTACTCCGAGTTGGGTACTACTAGCCCACCTTGAAGTCAGATTGCCAAGTCTACGTGCAAAAATGCAAAGAGTGCCAGCAGTTCGGCAACGCACATCGACAGCCACCCGAAGCTCTCCACCAGATGACGACCTCGTGGCCTTTCACCCAGTGGGGAATGGACATCCTAGGACCGTTTCCCCCTGCAAAAGGTCAGCTCAAATTTCTCCTAGTGGCAGTCGTCTACTTCACCAAGTGGATCGAAGCATGCCCACTCGCCAAGATCACCACGGAGAATATACGGAAGTTCACCTGGAAGAGCATCATATGCAGGTTCAGAATTCCGCATTCCTTTGTCACCGATAATAGCCGACAATTCATTACGCAGAGCTTCGAGGACTTCCTTCGAGAACTCAGAATCAAGCACCTCCCGATCTCGGTGGAACATCTGCAAACTAATGGTCAAGCTGAAGCTGCAAACAAGGTGATACTCCGAGAGCTCAAAAAGCAGCTCGGGAATGCCATGGGATAATGGGTTGACAAACTTCCCAGCATCCTCTAGGCATACCATTGCACCCCCCAGTCAATAACGCAAGAAACGCCCTACAAGCTGACTTATGGAGCTGACACATTGATCCTAGTGGAAAATGGAGAGACATCTCACTGATGTCAGGTCTTCAACAGCGAGCAGAATGCTTAAGAGTTAGCAGCTGACCTCGACTTGATTGACGAGCTCATAGACGAAGCTCGGATTCATGAAGAAGCCTGCAAACTTCGAACCTTGGAACAATTTATCCTGCTTTACGCCGAGGCCGAGTCTGAACCTTGGTAAGAATTACTTCATTCTAAGCATAAGGTCGAGGTCGAACCTCAATACGAATTATTTACATCAGGCCAAGTTTGAGCCCCAGAAAAGCACAAAATGCATAAGTGCAAAACACATAAGGTCAAAAATAGAAGGTCAAATAGAACTATTAAAAGCACGAAGACAAAACCTCAAAAAAATGATATATATTTAACGAATTCCACGAGTTCAATACATGAATTCAAGAAAAATAAAAACAAAGCATAAGAAAATAACAAAATTGGCTTAGGCAGAAGCATTTTCACTTGAGTTATCTTGAAGGTCGTCCTCCTTCACCAGTTTCCCAAAGCGTACCTCTTTCTCCACATGCATGGCGGAGAGGTCAAACCCCGGTGCAAGTAACCTTGCCTGGCGAGCTGCCTTGAGGAATCCCCTCTTATGCTCAACCACGACAGCTCGCTCAGTCTCCTCAAGCTTCTTTTCTAGCCCCGCTTTCACCGCATCTAGCTTGGCGAGATCCACCTTCAAGGCGACAACCTCCTCTTCTTTCCCATCGAGAAGCACCTCGTCACAAAAACGCGGCCACCGCCACCAACTTAGCCTTCTACGTGGTGACCTCGTCCTCCAAAGAGCACACCTGAGCTCAGGAGGAGCTGGCGAGTTCCTGCAACTCATGCACCTGAGCAGCGTAAGTCTCATTAGCCCTTAGAGCAATCCCTAAGGACTTCTGGACTCTCTCCAGCTCCCTCCTGGTGGCCTGAAGCTCGGCCTTATTCTGCAGCTTGGCATCCCCGAGGGCACCTGCCAAGGCCCTGTTCTCCTCCCTCAAGGCCTTGGCCTCTTCCTTTAAAGGTTGAACCCGGCCCTTCAGCTTCGCCAAGTCCTCTTGTTGCTTGGACCACTTGTGCTTCCAGTAGTCCATGATGGTCGTGCTCCTCTGCAGGAAGACCTCAGTAGCATCAAGGCCTTCCACGGGCCCGACTGACTCAATCATGGCCTGGTCAGCCGTGCTAAGAGAATCCTTGGCAAAAAATTTCTCCGAGGTAACCCTCGTGCTCCACAGAGAATCTATGTCCTCCAAGGCACTCGTGTGGTCTAACCGCATCTGAGAAGAATCCTTCCCGAAGCGATGGGCGAGGTACTGGCTTCTGGGGTGCTCCTTTGACGAGCCAGACGGCGGCGCCGAGGTTACAGCAGTGGGGGTCGGGACCTCAGAGCTCAGCCCCTTTCCACGGTTATCGGTGGAGGCAGAGGCAGGCACCCCTTGCTCAGCAACGGGGACGCCCACCCCTGGTACCTCCGAGCTCGGGACCACCGGGACCTCGGCAGCGTCCCTAGCCTGCAAAAGACATTCT